TTACTATTTTTCAATTATTTTAAAAAATTAAACACCACCTAGCAAAATTGATAAAAAATTGAGTTATCAAATATATACATAGATCATACATCAATTAATTAAGGGTGCAATAATAAAACATTTGGTTAACACATTAAGTTTCTATCAACAAAGGTTATGACAAAAATGTGGAAGCAATTTTTACAAAAAGTACCTCTTCACTTTTTTTATTCTCAATTATTTTTTATCACCAGAATTTTCCCCCAAGACATGGTAACCTCTATTAGAAGGGTCATACTAGATTTTAGAAATTATTATAAAATATCCTAAAAAATATTACTTATCGAAAAAAATGAGTTAATATAAATATGGACATATCATACACCATTCTAAAGAAGGTACAATTCCAAGATCATTGGTAATAGTATGAGTGGTGAATTATTCGAAATAGTGACGAAATTGTGGAGACAAATTTCACCTCTTCGAAAAGTACATCATCAATTTAAAGTTAGACATTGTTGGTTTTTCTTTTAATAAAGGTAAAGTTTTTGATTGTTTCTCAAAACTGCATTTTAAAAAGAGTAATTTATATATTTAAAGATACCTTATATTTATATAAATATTATTATTATAAAATTTTTGAAAGATCAATAATTACTGTATATTTGATACGAAATTTATAATAAATCTATTTATAATCGAAGAATATTACTTTAGAATATTTTATATTTGGTATAATTGAGGTCCCTCGAAATTGCATAATTAAAATATTTTTGTGCTGAATCAAAATTTTTTAATTTGTATAAAGTTTTGGCTTAAAAATTTTAGTTTAGTCATACCTTTACTATAATAATAATCTGCTTTTTCTGGGTTATTCTGAATAGCTGAATCATAATACTCCAATGCTTCTTCAAATCTATTCATTTTAAATAAGGTAATTGCTAAACAAAAAAATACATCATTTAATTATACCTTTGCCATAATAATAATCTGCTTTTTCTGGGTTTTTCTAAATAGCTGAATCATAATACTCCAATGCTTCTTCAAATCTATTCATATTCTCTAAGGTAATTGCTAAACAAAAAAATACATCATTTAATTATACCTTTGCCCTAATAATAATCTGCTTTTTCTGGGTTTTTCTGAATAGCTNGAAGATTACAATAATATTAATCTTTGTTACTAATATAAAACAGTGCTCTTGGTAGGTAACAATCTAATATAAACTGGGATATAATTTATTGTTAATTTAGATTCTCTTTAATACTATGTAATTTACATATTAATTTTATGCAAATAGAGGACTTATAATAATAAAGGAATTTATTATCCTCTCATTTTCCAAATCAATAAAGCGAAAAGATTAATCATTTAGCAGATCAATCAGAATAAAATTTTTAAAACTTATGATAATAAATTTAGAAAATGATAGAGATTCACAAGAAGTAAAATACTACATTGAGATTAAATGATTTAGAAAAATAGCCTGATATATTTCTATCTATCTTTGCTAAATAATAAAAAAACAGAATTTGAAATTATACAATCTGATTATTGTAGAAATGAAGATTTTCTTGTACCTAAACTTATTGTAAATGATATTCCTTTTAATCAAATAGCACTAAAATGATATATAGGAAATATTAAATTAGTTGATTGAGTATATGATCAAGCGATTGAAAATGTCAAACAAAAAATGCTTGAAAAATAGCCAAAACTATAAATTACTTATTTTGGATTTTAAAATTTCAGGAATTGATGGATTTTAAGCAAGTTCGCAAATATAATTTAAAAATAATATCTAATTAGGGTTTTATTGTGACTTGTTCTGCTTATGATACTTAAGAAAACTTATAATATGGTAAAAAATAATAATAAACACAATACTATAAAAACCTGTAATTAACTTAAATTGAATGTATCAATATCTAATGAAATTTTATGTAAATAAAAACAAGTGAAGTTACTTTTTCTTAAGATACTACTTAAATTAATTATGTTTAATGTCGTTCTTATACGCTATAGGAAATGATCTGATTATATTTACTCAAAAATGAAAAATCATGATTAACCATGAATTTGACTTAAAAAATTCTGAAGAATACTTCATTAAGATTAAATTAAGAACTATTTGATTTATGCTGTATGGCTAAATTAATATCTTTATCAAACAGAGTTTATATCAATTTAAGAATTTAAGTAATCTTGCTAGATAGATTAAAAAACAAGCACATCTGCTCAACCTCTAAATGAATATGTAAAATTCAATAATATTTAAAATAATGTTATAGCAAAATAAATGATAGCTATATAATCAATGAAAAAAAAAAAATTAGCTCATTTTTCTACATAATATTTTTTTTTTATTTATTTCTCTTAAATTAAAATCCTTTTTCTTCATTCTTATTTTCAATCTTATAGTATAAAGTTTGGTAAGCAATGTATTTTAACTCAATATTCTCATTTCTTGTGATATTTATTGCAACAACAGATCTCAATAATTAATTATTATTTTAACATAGAAGCTAACCATTAATAATAAGATTTGGTTTTTATTAATATAAATAAGCATTAGAATTGAGCATTTAAGTTATAACGAATAATTTTTACATGTGGACTTACGAGTAAAATATATTTTAAAAAATAAAAGGATATAATATGCCTTTAATAGAAAGTTCTGTTTCCAAAATAATAAAGCTAATATATTAAATATTTAGTGTTTAATCACACTTTGTATAGAACGAATAACTTTTACTCATGTTGAATACAAATATGTTAATATTATTTATTATAATTTGAATTTTTTCATCTCATATATTTCATTGAGATATTTAACAATCCCTTCATCATAATTAATACAATCGCTAAACAAATATATACATCATTAAATTATACCTTTGCCATAATAATAATCTGCTTTTTCTGGGTTTTTCTGAATAGCTGAATCATAATACTCCAATGCTTCTTCAAATCTATTCATTTTAAATAACACAATCGCTAAACAAAAATATACATCATTAAATTATACCTTTGCCATAATAATAATCTGCATTTTCTGGGTTTTTCTGAATAGCTGTATCATAATACTCCAATGCTTCTTCAAATCTATTCATTTTTTCTAACACAATCGCTAAACAAAAATATACATCATTAAATTATACCTTTGCCATAATAATAATCTGCTTTTTCTTGGTTTTTTTGAATAGCTGAATCATAATACTCCAATGCTTCTTCAAATCTATTTATTTATTTTAATGCCATCGCTAAACAAAAATGTACATCATTTAATTATACCTTTGCCATAATAATAATCTGCTTTTTCTGGGTTTTTCTGAATAGCTAAATCATAATACTCGAATGCTTCTTCAAATCTATTGATTTTATATAATGCAATCGCTAAACAAAAATATACATGATTAAATTATACCTTTGCCATAATAATAATCTGCTTTTTCTGGGTTTTACTGAATAGCTAAATCATAATACTCGAATGCTTATTAAAATCTATTCATATTCTCTAAAATATCAGCTATATATTTATGATTATGATACCTTTGCCATAATAATACTCTGCATTTTCTGGGTTTTTCTAAATAGCTGAATCATAATACTCCAATGCTTCTTCAAATCTATTCATTAATTTTAGGGCCATCGCTAAACAAAAATGTACATCATTAAATTATACCTTTGCCATAATAATAATCTGCTTTTTCTGGATTTTTCTGAATAGCTGAATCATTAAACTCCAATGCTTCTTCAAATCTATTCATTTTAAATAAGGCAATCGCTAAACAAAAATATACATCATTAAATTATACCTTTGCCATAATAATAATCTGCATTTTCTGGGTTTTTCTGAATAGCTAAATCATAATACTCCAATGCTTCTTCAAATCTATTCATATTCTCTAGATTATCAGCTATATATTCATGATAATGATACCTTTGCCATAATAATACTCTGCATTTTCTGGGTTTTTCTAAATAGCTGAATCATAATACTCCAATGCTTCTTCAAATCTATTCATTTATTTTAGGGCCATCGCTAAACAAAAATGTACATCATTAAATTATACCTTTGCCATAATAATAATCTGCTTTTTCTGGATTTTTCTGAATAGCTGAATCATTAAACTCAAATGCTTCTTCAAATCTATTCATTTTAAATAAGGCAATCGCTAAACAAAAATATACATCATTAAATTATACCTTTGCCATAATAATAATCTGCATTTTCTGGGTTTTTATGAATAGCTAAACCATAATACTCCAATGCTTCTTCAAATCTATTCATATTCTCTAGATTATCAGCTAGATATTCATGATCATGATACCTTTGCCATAATAATACTCTGCATTTTCTGGGTTTTTCTGAATAGCTGAATCATAATACTCCAATGCTTCTTCAAATCTATTCATTTTTTCTAACGCAATCGCTAAACAAAAATATACATCATTAAATTATACCTTTTCCATAATAATACTCTGCTTTTTCTGGGTTTTTCTGAATAGCTATATCATAATACTCCAATGCTTCTTAAAATCTCTTCATTTTATCTAACACAATCGCTTTGATAATATTTTTAATATGTACCTTTATAATTATAATATTATGAATTTTAAGTTTCGCTTTCAATCAAGAAATCACTAAATTCTAACATTTAAAGATTAATAATTTATTGTTTATCATTATTGTTCAAATAGTTATTATAATTTTTGATAAATTCCAACCTCTACTAAATCAAATTATAATTCTCTTGATTTTGCTCGTTCAATATATCCATTTTTATGAGATTATTTAAGGTTTTTTATATTTTTCTCCTATTATTTATCTTATATATAATTATATATTTATACCTTTTTTTTATTATTAAATCCCTTTATTTTTTTATTTTTCTCTCGTTTTGTTAATAAACTTAATAATTTTTAATCCTTAATCAGCTATTGTGCTTTTTATTATTGACTTGATATATTAAGATTATGAATCCTTTAAAGTTAATCAAAATTATCAATGCACTAATTGAGTGATATATTTTTGATTGATACCCTCACTAATATTTCATTCAATTTAATGTAATTCATTATTTTGTTCAAATAATAATTTATTAATTAATTTCAATACTAGAACTAATTTTATAAATTTAGAAAGCAACAATTATATTTAAGCTATTTTACCATATATAAATAAGTAGAGGAGGCTTTGAATAAGATTGAATGTTGAAATTATTATTAATATGAGGATATATGATAATAAAGGTACTTTTATATTCTTATTCATTTAATAATAGAATTCCTAAGAAAAAATAAACATTTGTTTACTTTGGCAATACCTAAGAGGTAACATAAAAAAGTATTACTTTATAGATATAAAAAAAATGTTTAAAAGAGATGTTAAGAAATTTTACTTTATTAATTATCCAGTATCACCTAAATCGAGAAAATATCTATAAATTTTATCTAAAAGTACAATGAAGCCATTACGAAAATCATTGCGAATGCAAAATTTCTAGTAATGTTAATAACAGACTTAAAATTGTAATATGCCAGAATTATAGAATATCAGGAAAAACTTTACTTAACGAGACTAATCCTGCTTTAAAGCAAGCAAAATTAGTAACCATTTTTCATATTTCAAAGGATACATATAAAATTATTGCTTATTTTGTATTCTATTAGATAGCTCAGCTAATTCAATAGAGATTTTTATTGGGAAATGGAATAAGTTTTAAAAAGCGGATTTTTACAAATGTCTCTGAATTAGTCAAACCATAATCGCAGCAAATCCAAATTAAATTAGCCCTAGCCATCAATTTAATAAGAAAAAAATGTTATCTTTTTGTTAAAAGTATTATGAATATTTATCATTTAAGTGTTTCACAAATTGGTTGTATCAATAGAAAATATCCCTATCACATCTTCAAATATTTATATGATAATCTAGATGAAATTTGATTTGAGTAATCTTTTATGGTCCTTTTGAGAATCTTGGATTTTGAAAAACTGATTAAAACAAGATTTTGCTAAATGGCAAGTTATTCAAATTTAATTAAACTAATTTTTTTTAAGTATGATATATCTATATTAGAATCTGACAATTAATTCTACCATCTTTTTTCAAAGTGCTTTAAATCTTTATCATTAAGTAGTGCAAAAATGAAGCAAAGCAACCATCGGTTCGCTTATTAAATATTCGCAAACTTATAATCAGTCGGTCTCTATAATTTATAGCAATATTAATCCTCTCCCTGCAACCTAATGAAAGAAAAAAAGGAAAGAAATTCATTCATAACTTTAGAAAAGCCATTCCCAAATGCTTCAAACTTATCTTAGTCCTAAGAGAAGAGCCTAGAGATAACAAAAATCTAGCTTTAACTATATATCCCTAATTCTCTGTAATATTAACCCATCATGGCTTGACCCAAATAATTTCCTCTTAAATACCAAACTTACACTTAACAACTATGAAACAACTCTTTAGATTAATTCTGGTTTAAAACATGGCTTTTAATTATCTCACTAGCTATAACCTCTTGCGAGCTACAGCTTTGCTGTCTTTGAAGCCCATAATGAGCTAGAAAATCCCTGTAAAAAACCTTTAAATCTAAAGAAATAAAATTATTAGTTAGCTATGTCAGACCATGGTAATTTAACTAAGAAAGAGTCTTGTATTGGGCAGATGTCTTGTGAAAATAAAGCCTTATAGTGGCTTAATGGAAGAAATTAAGGAAAAAATTTGAAGTTGAAAGAAGTAGGTATTAGATCATATTTTTATGATATTATTATTACAAATTAGAGGAGCTTTCTTTAAAACCCCAATAAATCTTGGAGAACAAAAGATGAACCTTTTCTGCCTAATCACCTAAGGATTAAAATAGGTGGGTTAAAGTACCAAATACTGTAAGAGAAAAAGAATTATTACAAGTAGTCATTATCAAGCGGTGTACAATTAAGCTATTTGGCCAGATTTTAATGATGTAATCTATTCTCTTAATGGCCACCTTTTTTAGATGATATCTGATTTAACTAAAACAATAACTTTAGTTTCTTATTTGAAAAAGTAGAGTGTTGATTATTATTATGAAATATTTGAGGTTAATTTAAATATTTTATAAATATGGATTCAGCTCTCCTCATTTAAAAATAAATTGTGGAGTAAATTGCAAAGAAAAATTAGATTTCAAATTTTATTTCATAATGTTATAACTTTCTCTATATAAATTTTGAAAACAGAATTCTTATTAAAAATGAAAGTTGTAAAATTAAACAGATGCAATATTGAACCTCAATTATAGAGGTAGATGAATTTTGAAGTTAAAGAATTATGAATATTGGTACAAAAATTCCAACATAAATTGTCGTCAGAAATGTTTAGAAGATTCAAAAACACGAAAGAAAATTATTGAAACTTTCGATTATAGTTTGAATCACCTGACAAAGCAAATTTTCTTTAAATTCTATAACACAATTTTTCATCTGAATCTGATAATTCACACTTCTGAAATAATGAAAGTTATAAATTTACAAATTAGATCTATACTTATTCATTTCCTAAATATAAAAGTGGTTTTAGAAGTTGAATTAACATCCTAGACAATTCAATTAATTGTTTGGTTATTAAAATGAAAGATACTAATTTTATTTGTTAATTTTATATCAATCTTCATTTTATAAATGAATCAAATAAATGCATATTTTAATTATCTTAAGCAAAAATTAATCAATCTCTAACCTTCTAATCAGTATATATTCAAAAAGTAACTCTTAATAACAAAACTTATTATTGAAATATAAAGCACTTTATATATTATTTTTTAAATGAATATGGGAAATAATTTATATTTTTTTTTTGATCATTGAATATTTAATTATTTTAGGACAGGTTTGCCATCCCATAGTTGATTTAATCTTGGTCTATTGGCAACAAAATTTTTGGAAATGCCTAATTATTTGTCCAAAATCAAGAAAATAAATTAGTTTCTATAAATCTCAAACTTATCAGCCATATTTATAAGGAATGTAAGAGATTTTAGAAGAATTGCTAAATATTTCTTTATTAATTTATGAAAATATTGATGAAATATCCAAAAAAATCTTAATATCGTTTTAAAATCTTATCATGCACTATGATTTCTCTCTAAAATCCAAAATTAACATATTTTTTTAATTATACAATGAAATTAATTTTATTAAAATAGAGTTTAATTGTTGAAAAAAAATGTAAAATATTTGATTTATAAATCAAAATTAAAATATTGAGAAGTTGCTATCAAATATAAGCTTTGAATTTTGTAAACTTTAAAGCGAATTATGCTATTTACTTAGAATATAGAAATTATTTTCAGTTTGTAAAGATATGTAGATTTTTTTCTTTTTTCTGAGTCCAAATATAAATTATGAATCAAAAAATTTTATGCTGTATGCATTAATAGAAAATCTTGATTTACATAAACTTGACTAACTGAACGAAAAGATATCTGAAGAAAAAAATTTAAACATTATTTTAAAAGACTATGTCCTTCCAAAATACAAATATATTATGTATAATCTAAATGTATTATTAGTAGAGGATAACTTGCACTTGGACAAGTACTTGAGTTAAATTAGGAATAATCTTAATCCAATATACATATACACTGAGTTACCTATGTACATTAAAGGTTTTAACTGGAATAAACATTAGGAGATTTCCCTTTTAATTTAAGTCAATACTCGAAAGAAGTCCAAAATTTTTTTTTGTAACTTAATTCATGAGATGAAGAATATGAAAATTAATTAAGGCTTGAGTGATCAACACTCTAAAAAAAAGTTTTATCCTCTCCATATGCAATTTGCAAAAGAGCATTCACTTTAGAAACTTAAGGTTTGGCATTAACAGTTTATCTAAAATGATAGTCCATAAAAGCGAAAGGAGATAAGTTAAATATTAAATAAATATTTTATATTGTTAATAGAAATAGTATTGGTATAAAAAAAAAATTTTGAAAAACGATTTTCTAGAGCATAAAAATAAATGATATTTGAGGTGGATATTTTATTAAGATGATTAATATTATTTTGAAGAATACTTCATAGCTTTTTAAATTTTTTTTATTAATTAAAATAATATATTTTTTCTTTAACAATAATTCATGTTTAGCAATATCAACTACTCATCAGCCTATCAGTCAAGTTATATTCAATAGCAAGAAAATCTTGAAAGAAAAAAAATATCTATTCTCTAAGAACGATAAGATATAGAAATGGTTATTTATCAAAAATTGTAATAGAACATCTGCTTGAACATCATAAAAATCCTAAGCATAAACAATTGTGAAATTGAGATTGAAGATATCCCAATGACATTATAATCATTAATGAAAAAAAGATAAGAAATATCATTTGAGTTTTCAAATCAAGAAATAAAATTAATAATGGCCTAAATTATCAATGGATATTAACATTTAAGATCATTAGGAATTATTCATAGAAATTTAACTCCATAAACAATACTTGTTAAATAAATTAAAGGTAGATCAATTATTAAAGTATTCTATGATAATTTCCTTAGATATCAGACTTCAGTGTCTCAAGTTTATTAATTAATACTAAACTAAGAGAATCAAGAGCTGGAACTCCAGCTTATTGGGCTCCTGAAATGATGTTGCATCCCTAAAATGGTTACAGCGATAATTGCGATATATTTTCCGTAATTATTTACTTAATTGTTAGTTAGGTATTATTTTACACCAATTATGTTTTTAAACGAAAATGCCTTATAATTTTAAAGATAAATTTGAGCTGGAATAATATTTGAAAAATTTACAAATGCAAAATTTCAAATGTTAAACAAGCACATAAGTTGATAGATAAATTCTTGATTTAATCGAGAGAATGATAGTCTTTGATCCTCAAAAGAGGGTTAGTTGGGATGAACTTGCTCAAATTCCATTTCTTTAATAACCTTATCTTCTATTAAACGATCGATATCTAATTGACTTTACTCGATAATTGGGAAGTGGTATGTAAGGAGTGATATATTTAACACTTGACTTAAGTAAATAGATTGAATTATGTGCAAAGGTCATTGAAACAAATTCTTATGAGGGAAGTTTAGAACTTAAAATTTATTAAAAGTTTAAAAATATAGAATTAAAAAATATTATTCAAGTTTTCGATTTTATTGATGATAATAAATAAACGTATGTTATTATGGAAAAATGTGATGAAAATATTCAATAATATTTTCTAAAATAGAAAACAATAAATAATGAAGAAATTCTGGAATTTTTACGATAAATTATTTGTGGTTATATTGAACTACAAAAATTTAATATAATCCATAGAGACTTGAAACCAGAAAATTTATTGATAAAGTATGAAGGTAGAAATAAAATTATAAAAGTATTTAAATTTGATATTTTAATTAGATCATTGATTTTGGAGTAAGCAAGATGAATTAAACAAAAGGTTTAGCCAATACTATTGCAGGAACTCCAATTTATTCTGCTCCAGAAGTTCTTGAACCCACCGGAAAGGGTTACACAAATAAATGCGATATTTATTCTGTAAATTAAAAAGCAATATTTAGTTAGGGGTTATGCTTTATTATTTTGTCTTTAAGTCACAATATTATAATGCATATTCTTTAGAAGAATTAAAATCTTACTAAAAGAAATTATAATAAAAGCCATTCACTTGTACTTAAAAATCAAGTATTATTTATTTTACATTAGTTTTCAATTATTTAATAGAGAAAATGCTATTATATGATCCTGAGAAGAGAATTACTTGGGAAGAATTATAAGTTGAGGTGATGATTATCTCATTATAACATAATTTAAAGAAAAGAGAATCTGTTTTACTAGAAAGTATATCCGCTTCAATACTCAAATATTTAGATTGTGTTTAAATTTTTACATCTAAATTGGAATAAGAATTGATATAATATTTTTAAACAAAACCCTATCATAAAACACAGTAAGCCTTATAGTTATTTTATTTTTTACTATTGTTCAGTTAAGAAGCATTGTTGGACTGTCAAACAATAATTAAAAAGTAGTGTATCTATATATAAGATGATACTATAAAGTAAGAAGCAGATATTAACTAAATTGATGAAGAAAAATTATAAGGATATATCGATAATCTTTAAACTATTATTGAATCACTTTCGATCAAAGACGACAATATTTTTACCTAATAACAACAAGAAATGTATAAAGAGCTTGAAACGAAGTAATTAACATGCTATGATGTTCATTAGTATTTCAATTTTATCTATAAGAATTAATAAAAAATATACTCAGACGCATCTTTGAATTTGAGATATTATCTAGAAAAAATGTCAAATATTTTTAAGGATTATCCATTACTAAATATAAACAACATCTTATATTCAAAATTAGCAGAAAAGATCAAGGATGAAAATGCACAAAGATAATATTTAGAAGCAAAAAAGAATTATTGATATCTTTTCAATATTATTCTTATAATATAATAAAATATACTTTAATTAATATTACTATCATCAAGATATATAAAAATGAGAATAATAATAGTTTTAAAATATTTTTTAGTATTATTTCTTAAATGTAGAAAATAGTATGAATTATTAATTAATCATTTACATGTATGAATAAATCATATAAGTTTGGCATAGTAAATATTATTTAATTTGTCTAATTCAGAAATGAATGCTGCCGATTTAAATTTAGAGAGAGACTAGTATAAGGATTTGCTTAAATGTATCAAAGATGAATCTTAATAAAATGCTTTGAGATATTAAAGTAACTCCCATTATAAATACGAAAAAAAAAGAAAGGAAAAAAATGAATCTGATCATAAAGTATAGCTAGTCCTCCCTAGTATCGAAAGTAGTTCTTTAGAAGACATTTCATAACATTTTCATTCTATTAGAAGAATTTAAGCAGGAGCATAACATTAATTGCAGGCAAACAAATCATAACAAAAGTTTATCTAATAGAGTTTTATGGAACTTGAATAATCAAAAATGTCTTAGACAGTCAGAGATATAACAATAAGTGAAAAAAAATATTAATGCAATCAACGTAAGGTTCCACATAGAGAACCATTAACCTTGAAATATTTAGAGAAATAATTAGGGATTTCCAGCACACCAGAGAAACAACAATTACCAATGATTTAAAAGTAGCATCAATCGAAAAGAAAAATTACTGAAGACGAAGTATAACATGATTAATCAATTTTAACCTTTTTCGAAGAAACACTTAATTCATATTCTTATGCAATTCCGAGCAGAAGAGAATCAACATAAATAGCAATAGTTAGAGATAGAATGTATGTTTATGGAGGAATGAGTGGGGCTGGAATTACTAATGAGATCTGGTGGTTTGATTTAAGTATAAATTTAATAATAATTTTTAGAAAGGTAAGAATGGTTTAATTATTGTTCAGATATCTAATTATTTATTACTAATCATTCAATGGTAGTTTGGAAAAATTATTTAATATTATTTGGAGGATCAGGATATTATGATCATAAAATGAAAATCAGAGAAGTTTTTTCTAAAATTGCATCCTTTAACACTTTAACTAATTAATGGACTATTTCATTAGAATCTGTTGAACCAAGGAGAGAACACAAAGCATCAGTTCTCTTTGGAAAATTAATGGTTGTAACAGGTGGAATTGATTCAGCAGAAAAGCTATTGAATGACACACTTGTATATTCTTTGGAATCAAAAAGATGGACAGGTCAAAAGATATTATTCGAAGAAGGTATTGCTTAGCATGCCTAATGCACGGCTTATGATTATAAAAGAAATATTGAAACAATATATATCTATGGAGGATAAACAGCTAAACTAAGTTCATTTCCTCTAATGAGAATGTTGTTTTTTGGGCCACATCCAATAGGATGGGAAAAAGTCTAAACAGTAGGATAAGCTCCAGATAGTCGATATAATCACACTATGGAGAATGTTGGAGAATATTTAATTTTACTTGGAGGAAGATCACAAGAGAAAAAAGAGTATTAAAATGATATTTTCATCTTAAATCTATAAACAAGTGTTTGGAGCATCGCATAGAGATAAGGTTTATAAACAAAAAGATGGAGCCATGCAAGCTGTGTAAATGGAACAAATATTTTATGCTTTGGTGGAATAGGAGAAAGCACATATTTGCCTCCTCATATTTACTAAATTGAAACTGACACATTAAAAATCAAAGGAAAAATAGTCGTAGTTAAACCTCTTAGTGTTATTAACGAAGAATAAACTAACAACAATCACCATATGATAATTACTAGAGAACACGATTTCGATATGAAAAAGCCATGCAAATTAGAAAAATTTAGAAAAGCACGCAAAATGTATGAAACTATCGTTACTTATTTACCTCTTCCACAACTTAAAACACCTAAGATGAGATATGATATTTTGATTCATTTTGTTAAGACCATACTGAAGCAAATTGGTTACATTTGACAAAATAGTAATGCATTTATTTATTTCATTCCTTATTCAATTTAAAATTGACACAATTTTTGTTCTTAATACTATAGATATTTAAAAATGGTTTACAATAATAAAAATTCTAATAGACTAATATTTTGTTTTATTTTATTTTTTTTGTAATAAAATTGCTTTGTTTTAATCAGTGCTAGATTCATATTTTATTTAATGGTATGCAAATATAAACCTAAATTACATTTGTATATAAGGTATATTCTTAAAATTATTCAAAAATATTATCACTAACAGTTTATTCCAAATTACAAAAATTACCATAATATTTCGAGTATAGTAGCTATTTCGACAGGCCAAAAGTATTTACAATAAATAGATTAATAATGGAAATTAGGTTCTCTAACAAAGAGACAAAAATTGAAAATCTTAGAAATCTAAGAAATTTAAATAGTATTAAGAAAAGAACTTAATTATTGATATATGATAATATGATATTTCATCAGTGATTATCTATGCTTTATCTTTTTTTTCCTACTTCTTCACTTAAACTTGTTTAAAATTCTTAGAAAGTAATTTCTCCATCACCATTTTCATCAAAAAAGTCAAAACAAGCAATTATTTCTTCTTAAGTTATATTAGGCTCTATTCTTTTTAGCAATAATCCCATCTCATTTTTATCCAATCTCTGATCAGCAGATTTATCAAACTATGATAATTTTATAATTTTTGATACTTTTTTAAAGAGATCTAATAAATTGATTTTATATTTTTAGATTGACAATTTTAATTTCTCTATAACATAATTAGCTCTTTCTTCAATAGAACCTTAAGATTTTAATTAATGTGGTAAGATTGATAATTTTTTATGAGATCCTCCATTTCTTTATTATTGTTAAGCATTCCCATTAGTGATAATCTAATAGATACTAATTAGAATACTTAATTATCTTCAAGCCATTTTTTGAATTCTTCAAATTCGATTTGATTGTTACCATCATCATCAAATTTATTAAATATATACTCAATCTCCTCTCTTGTAATATCTTTATCAACTTTCATCAAGAACTTTCCCAATTCATTAACATCCAGAGCTTTATCTTTTGACATATCTAAATCAGCAAACAATTTGTGGATATCTATTTTCTCTTTGCATATCATTTATCTAATATCATTAATTAAATATTGAGCTCTATCTTCTAATTTACTATTGCCTTTAATAAAATCCTTAGATATCATTTAAATTTTAATACAGTGAAGTATTAGGATACAGCAGGATGCTTATAGATTTCTTCCCAAGATAATCTCTTGTTTTCATCTGCTTATAAGCATCCAATAATTAAATCTTGAGTTTCTTAAGAAACTTAATTTTTATCAGTAGGAAATTTTAAAGGCTAAGTTCTTATGTTTTTTAAGAGTTCAGCAGGTGATCTGGCTGTCCAAGGTGCTTTTGGATAGTGTGAAGATTCTTACTCTTTCCAAATAAGGCTTCATAAAAAATGAATCCTATACTCCAAACATCAGTTTTAGAGTTATATCTTTTGTGATCTAAAATTTGAGGACTCATGTAAAGTGGAGTTCCAACCATGGATGCCATCATAGTTTTCTTAAAATTGTCAACACATTTAGCAAAGCCAAAGTCAGCCAATTTATATGTCTGGGTTATTTTAATATAAATACTTGTTTATCGATTAAAATGTTTGCAGGTTTAAGATCTCTATGAATAATACCATTTTTTATAAGTTATGTGAAACCATTCAATACATCAACTAAGAATTTGATTGCATCTTTTTCGGAAAGTAATTTTCGTTTCTTCAAAAGTCTGAAATGTATTTAATATATTTACTCATCAAAATCGCCTCCATCACAGTATTCTTAAACAATATAATAATTATTGTTCGTTTCCATGACATCCAATAAAGTTACAATATTTGGACTCTTTAATTTTTACATAATCTTAATTTCTTGAATAAGTCCTTCCCTTAAATAATCATCTCTAAATTAATGAAAGAAATAATTACGAATTTATTACTGATTTACTCAACATCTTGATAGCTACCTTCTCTCCAGTTTTTTCATTGGTTCCTCGATAAACTTCAGCATAAGATCCTTGTCCAATTCTATCTTTTACATTAAAAATATATTTGTCAATTCTTTTATCTGTCATCAAAATTAATTTATTTTTGATTTAATATAATAAAATAACATGTGTATTTTTAATGACCTAATGTACTAAAAAATCATCTTGCACCTTTTCCTCTTCTTGCAGTGTGGCTAACATATGGCTTAGCATGAGATCCTGGTAAACCAGCAGCTCTGCCAAAATGTTTTAAGGCTTCTCTCACCTTTGGACCTCTCAATAAAATAGTACCAGTTCCTATAAATTTTAAGTATCCTTAAATACCTGTTGGATTTTGTTATGCCAATTAATCAAAAGTTAGAGTCTTTCCTCCTGCAGCGAGAATTCTCTTTCTTGCTGTTTCAGTGAATCGGAGAGCACAGACATTTAATTTTGGTACAGTAAGGAGACGAGCACTAAAATGCATAAATTCTATGATTACTCATCAGTTACTGTGCCTACAACTACTAAAGTTCTAGTTTTATCTTTAGCTGTATTAATTTATTTTACAAGTCTGCTGACACTAATTGGGTACCTTGCAGTTCTTGTTGATTAGAGTCTTCTCAAAATAGTAACATTGAATTGAGAGTCTGTTCTTCTTGCTAAGAATTTGTATAACTAGGCGATCAATCTAATACTTTACCTTTATTAATAATTTCAAATAAAGGTTTGTAGAAGTCACTTTTCTTCCTACTTTCCTTTACACTCTAGTCTTTTTGTAAGCATCTACTCCCTATTATATATTTAGACTTGTTTTGTTACCATTTTTCAAATTTTTATATCTTTATTTAATTTATGGTATATGAATTCAATAAATACTTTTCGTCAATCCATTTATAATATTAAATTGCATATTTAAAATACTCATTTTTTTTCTTCGGGAAGTGTATTAGCCTCTTTTATTTTATCCTCTTTTTTATCCTCCTTTTTCTCATCCTTTTTCTCATCCTTTATATTTTTCTTTTTCTCATCCTTTATATCTTTCTTTTTCTCATCCGTTTTATCTTTCTTTTTCTCATCCTTTTTATCTTTCTTTTTCTCATCCTTTTAATCTTTCTTTTTCTCATCCTTTTAATCTTTCTTTTTCTCATCCTTTTTATCTTTCTTTTTCTCATCCTTTTTATC